GAGGGGAGGGGGGGGGTAGACACCGTGCCAGACGAATCCGTCGTCTGCCTGCATGACACCCGCGGGGCGTGTTGGGCCGGGTATGCCCCCCCCCTCCCCTCCGTCGTATAATTTGCGGGTCAGCAGGGGCCAGAGAGACCTCGCCTGCGGCAAACAACATCACCCGTCTGTTCCGGCCTGTCCTCTACCCAGGAGCAGCAAACTGTGGATCAGCTATCAGGACCCTTCGATACTTTGGCCATCCGGATACTAGATCCTTTATCTTATATCCGGATCCGGTCATTTCGCACTCTCGACGTCTAAGGACAACTACTGTAGGGAGCTCCGGACTTCTGTGTACAATTGTATACAATATTGCAAGTAGCTAGTTAGTACATTGTTAGTCACAATATTGTACCTCAACTCAGTTATGCTTGGCTTGAAGAAGTCCGGCGCCAGTGAGTGACGGTCATTTTCCCTTTAGGGACATTTAGGGTGCTGTCCGTAAGGGTCCACCTAAAAAGTATGTATACGTCATTCGTCGTTACGAACTTGCCAAATTCAGCCAGCTCCGTGAGCGCACGAAAAGCAACATGTGAGAGTCAGCTGGAGCTGTGGCAGGCTAAGCCGTTGCAAGCTGTCAAAGCGCCTGGTAGGTAGATAATATGTTGCCCGCAGTGCATGCGTGTACTGCGGGGTGGCCTACGTTGAGTCTCGCAGGCGCCGAGCTCTCGTAATTTGTCGAATGATTCTAAGGAACATGGGCGTACTCTCTGGACGATCCCCTCTATTCAGTTCCTTTTTGAACTTCTGCGATACCACTTTCGCTTATGTTTGGCAGTCACCGTTCGCCCCGAGGGGTGGATAACTCCCCTGCTAAATGTACACCCCCAATTCTGCCCAATTCAAACTAATTCAAACCAATTCAATTTAATTCTACACAAACCAGAAATAATTCAAACCAATTCAAATTTTATTCAACCGCAATTCAGTTTAATTCAAGACCATTTACATTCAATTCAAGCCAATTCAGTAAAATAAAATCGCAATAAATCAGTCCAAATTCAAAACCAATTCAACCAATTAAGTACAATTCAAATTCAATTCAAGGCAATTCAAATTCAATTCATAAAATTTGTACACCCAATTCAGGAGTTATCTACCCCTCGGTTCGCCCCGCCCCGTATGATCAGGCGAGAGTGCCGGCCGCCCCGCCCCGGGCCGGGGCCCCGGCGCCCACTCCATCAGAGTGACGTCCATTAGAGCCAATGACAGTCCCGGGTGTGGGTGCGCACTCCGCACTCCGCCACCGCGTCCTTGGCCTTGGTGTTATTGCCCTACAACACGGCAGCCAGGGTGTCCCCAGGTGAGGTAACCGATCGCTACAGCCGTAGCGGTCGTAGCGGCGACACGCGGTCTGCTCCGCGGGGACCAGCGGGGAACAGCCCGCCCGGTCGAACGGTACACCCAAAGGGTCACTCGCGGCTCACTATGCGGCGCTGCGCGGATGCTGCTATGAGCGACCCTTTTTATTTTTACGTCAAGGAGAGCGGAGGCAGGAGAGAAAACGTGAGCCAGAGAGAAAGGGAGTGTTTGAGAGGAGAAAGAGAGACAGAGTGAGGCGCAGAGGAACGAAGGTTAATGAGGTTAATTCATGCTGCATGTCTAGGGGAGAGGCAGTTGAGTCAGGACACCGTGGACCTCAGCAGGACGCCGCCAGGCCACGTCGGGCCCGAGTGTTCTTCGACCTATGAAGCGATGACCTGCTGTTTTATCGCTCGATGCGGTGAGTTGGCGAAGCATCACTCGCGTTTTCCCCGGTATTTTTCTCGTTTCGCATGCAGATCACAGTAAAGTTTTATTCACACCAGAAAACGCCGTGCCAGTGGGTGCCCCCCCCCCCCTCCAACCCCCAGGTGTCAATAATCCACCGGCACAGCAGTTCCGTCGTGGTAGCGCTCAGAGAGCGTGGCGTGGGCGAGCAGCGAGCAGTTTGAACCGGTACCGCCCCGGCCGAACAAAAGGGCCCTCCGCTGGGGGCACGTAGGGGATAAGGTGGAAAGGGGGGGGGGGGTAGTGTTGCCAAACGCGGTGGCGGCGGTAAGGGCGTGTCTTCCCCGCGTCGCGGCAGCAGCGGCAGCAGCGGCAGCAGCGGCAGCAGCGGCAGCAGCGGCAGCCTCCCGGCGCGCGTCACCGAGTGGCGCCCCCATTGGATTGTTGGAATAACACGTGAAATACTGGGGGCCGGCGGAGACGTGCGCGCGCGCGCGCGCACACACACACACACACAGCGCGCGCACACACACACACACACACAGACGCACGCACACACGCCGTGCACGGGCGTGCTCGTTGTTCGGTTCGAATTAGGTCGCGCGCTTGGAGCGCACACAGTTAAAATCCTGCGAAGTAATGCTTTGCATTTGCAATAAGAAAAATGCTTCGTAGCTACAATGGATCAAAATCCTTCGCAATTGCAAAGTATTGCTTTCGTAGGATTTTAACATTGCAGGCTTGGAGCCGCCACCGGCGCTTAATCGGGTTGGATCGGGTTTGTGCCGGTGAGGTGAGGGTGGCGGCGGTCGCAACCGGTGAGGCTTAGATGTTATTCCAGCGGGCCAGGGCGGGGGCGGGGAGGCCGTGCGTATCGCACTCGGTACGACCGGCACCCACCCACGGGCAGCCCAGCTCAGCTGAGACCTTCCAACACGGCTCAACGACCCTTGGTCGGTCTACTTTCCAGCAGCAGGTAAACTCGTAAAGTCGCTCGTCTGAGGTCTATCCGGTGGCTCTGCTGTGCTGCGCTCTGCTCTTCTCCTCACCCGCCGGTCGACCGGAGGTTGAGGTGTTTCGGTGTTCCGAAAAGGGCGAAATTTGTGTCCGATTTCTGTGACATCTATTACGCACATTTCTAAAAGTGCGAGAGATGTGGATCGGAATCTTGTGAAATTATCGGACGTCTCAACGTCATTTCTTAACTCAACACCAAGGAGCGGAGCACAGCAGAGCAGAGGCACTGGATGGCCCCCTGGAAACGGAGGCAACCGCAGGCGCGCGGGCAGACATGGGAATCGACATGCGCGGCAGACGAAACTGTGCCGACGGGCGGGCGGACCCTGTGCGAGCGGCACCTCCCCGCCGGACGGCAGCAGCGCTACTGTTCTTATTTTCCCCTCGTTTAGCTAATTTAAGTTCGTTGGCTGCTCTCGCACCTCTCGCTCTTTATTGTGGCGGTGGCACGATCTCCAGCAATAATCTAATTTTCTTGTTTGTTCTTTTAATCCTATTACCTCCTGGGGCCGACACCCCCGCATGCCGTGCGGCGGACGCGGACGCCCCGGGAGCGGAGCGGCCGGGCCACGGAGCTATCCTCGCCGGGCGTGGCGAGCGCCTGAGAGGTAGGCAGACCCGCCGCGCACCGGTGCGTAGCGGGCCTCGGGATCGAGTCGCACTTTGCAGGCGCGGTCGGCGGTCACCTGCTTTAGAGCGAGGGGGAAATCACTTGCGTACTAACTCGTACACCCAGGCCTGTACTAAGGACGTACTAACTCGTACTAACAGCGTATTCACGCGTACTAATGGTAAAAATCAAGGGTAATAGTGCCGTAATAACGTAATTTTGCATAAATGATGAAAAACTACGCAAAAAATAGGGTGTACTAACGTGTACATACGTACTAACTCGAAAACTCTGATCTGGAGTGATTTCCCCCTCGCTTTAGAGCTTTGACAGGCACATATCACAGCACGTTTCCGGCCGCCCGATCATTCTCCGACGATTGTCATACAACTTTTCTGACTTGAGATGATAACTCATTCCGTGACTAGTTAGTCTTTTCAATGCCTGGCATATTTGTGTATTACGACATTTTAAAACCTTTCTACGCGACTATTTTTGTCGTCGAAGCTAACCAAACCCCCAACACTACACCGAGTGTCTATAAGTGATGTCCCCCGGGTGCTCTGTCTGCAATAGGCTCTAGGGTAGAACACCTGTCTAAATAACCACTGGTTGAGCGGCGCTCCGCGTGGGTCGCACCTGCCTCGCACCGCGACGCGCCTGGCGGACCAGCGGCCGGCCGGCTGCGCTGCGGCAGGCACCTCGGCGGGCTCAGTCCGTGCCGCCGTCCCCTCCCCGGGGCCCCGAGTTCCAATAATTCCTCGTATGGCGACTCATGTACCCGCGTCGCGAATCCCAAACTGGGCGTTGTTGGTCACGCAGTGGGTCTAAGAATAACCTTTCTCGTCGACTCGTCACTCGCGTGATGAACCCTCACGCAGTTTTCAGGGGCAGTTTTAAGGGGGAGAAAACCGGAGGGGACGAAAGGACAGTTTGCCTTCGAGGAGGGAGGGGGGGGGGGCAGTCTCACGGCACGCCAGATTAGACGTCTGGAAGTAGGCAACTGGACACAAGCAATGGCGCCCCACTCGTCACGTTGTCTTACAACCGCCAGTATGGGATGGGGGGCTTTCTTCCATCGGCCGAAATCGCGTCACCGCCTGGATAAGAGCGAGAGCCACGTAACAAGGAACAGGCGCGCGCATTTTTGTTGAATTAAAATGGCGAAAGTGGCGCCAACCGCAAATCCTGCGCGTGTCGTGCGGTGCGTCGGGGCGTGGTGGGGCGGGGCGGGGGCATGGGCGCGCCGATGGAGCATCGAGCCCTGTGACGACGGT